TGTGTCTGTGTGTGTGTGTGTATGTGTGTGTGTGTGTTTATGTGTCTGTATGCGAGTGTGTGTATGCGTACGAACGTGTGAGTGTGTGTGTGTGTGTATGTCTGTGTGTGTGTGTGCGTGCGTATGTGTGTGCCGTTGTAATCTCAAACTTAGAGTTGGCATATTATACGTAGCCTAAGCTTACTGTACGTAGTGCTGGAGAAAAAAAGATCATTTACCAAAATATATCTTCCAATGTACAAAGATTAAAAAGAATTATTGTTCCGGCAATGGGAGGACGCTACGTCCTGCTGGGGAAACTAATTTTTTTGTAAAGAATGGGCTGACTAGTTAATCATCGCAGCTGTGATTAGAGCTTCCATACATGACTAGCAAATCGGTTTTATAACTTATAGACTATAGCTATTAAGCTGAAATGGAAGCAATATAATGTAGGCTAATTCATGTCATTTTTATGCCTCAGTTTTCCTTTAAAAAAATGTTAATTAATACATTGGAATATTCGCAAATGATTATCCAGTTGAACCCGTCTAAGTCTAAGTAGACCTGTCCAAGACAATCACCAATACAAACGAATACTGCTCCCTCCCCCCACACCTTTTTGCATTTCCGTTTCACTTTGGCAATTGGTAGGACGAGTTTTACGGTGCTTGCAACTACAAAATGTCATAATATGAGCGTGCTCTTTTTTTTTTCTTCTATTTTTAACATAATTATGACACTGTCCAAGGAGATCACCTGTTTAAGATGACCGCTTATCTTCTTGACAATGGGCGGGCGTCTTGGACATGTTCGACTGTATGTGTATGAACAATGTAGAAAAGTTTTAATCCTCTTTATTGCCTACCAAAAGTTAGACTTCCTAAATACCTTTTTTGACACTATTTCAGGAAATCGTCAAACACTGAGTAAGCGATCTTTCCAGTATTATAATAATCTCTGGCCATACTACAAAAAAAGTTAATCTTCATAACAGAAGATTTCCTATAAACAATGCACCTTTGGACTTTGGACTTTCGACTTTCAGTTTAGAGGCTCGTTAGCTAACAGGTCCAAGTGTTTTGAAACCGGGGCATGTTACAGTTTTCTGCATAAAGACAAACTCGTCGTTTATAACAATACAACAGTTACAGTTAGTTTGGGTGAGTATTGTAATATTGTCACAAGATCAATATCCTCTCTGCTCTATTTAGAACGCTTTTTCTTGCACAGATGACTTGATGAACTTGAAAGTAAATCGAATGAAAGCCAGATTCTCAGTGATTCAACAAACACTGTAGTCACTGTCAACTGTCAACAGTAACAGGCAACAGTAACCAGGAGTTGAGTTGAGTTGAGGTCTAGATCTAGACTAGATATTTATTCTAGATCTAGCGTTCTACTCAGACTCGGCAAAGTAGGCTCAAGATCTATGCCTATGCCTCATTCAGGTTTAGGTATGCATGCTTCTTTTTCGGGAAGATTGAAAAATACCGGACCACTCGTACATTATTATTGCGCGTGAAAGTGGGGTAGGTGGGACAGGTGG